AAAATACATTCGAAACCTGACTGCATCAACCTCTTCCAGCAGGACAGTGATCCAAAACACACCTAAAAATCAACACAGAAATGGTTTACTGACCACAGAATGAAGGTTTTGCCATAGCCACTCCAGTCCACTGAACTAAACCCCGTAGAAAACTTGTGGGTGAACTAAAAAAGGAGAGTCTCAAGGATCTGGAGAGGTTGACTATGGAGGAACTCTCAGATCCTGTGCCTTGTGTTCTCCAGTCTCATTAAGTGTTATAGGAGAAGACTCAAAGCAGTTATCTTTGCAAACGGAGGCTGCACAAAGTATTAAATGATAGATTTTAGGTTAGAAGAAAAACCAAAAGGATAAGCACTAAAGAATGTTATTTACAGCCTGTTTTGCTTATGCTTACCAGGGCTGTATACCGTTGTTTTTGGAAGAAAACCTTGTATCTCCAAAATGACAACTTTATAGGAGAAGGAAAAAAAAGTCAATGATTTTTTTCCAAGTAATTTTGGGCTGTTTCTTTGGGTCCATTCATCATAAAATTTCCACACAATGTAAAGGGCAACAGGCATTTTCAAATTATGCCAAAAACTGAAAAATGAACATATATATATTTGTGTGTGTGTGTGTGTGTGTGTGTGTGTGTGTGTGTGTGTGTGTGTGTTGTGTTTGTGTTTTCCAGTGTCTTTTTTAAAATATTTTTAATTTTTTTTTAACCGGTTGTTCCCACCTTAACAGATAGTAGTAATGTTCAGTGCTCTTGATTCCTCACACAATCAATTAATTCTGGTCAAGAAGTCAATTATTTTTATGCTACGCTTTTGTGAGAGTTCACCCTACTGACCCAGAATTTAACAGTGTGCCAACCAGCCCCCGTGCCAACTAGCCCCATTCTCCCCTTTGTGCATATACCAGTTGCGTGCAGTTTGGCTGCCCCAGTCAATTTACATATTTTGTTGATTTTCTAATTGAAAATAAATGAACACATCCTCTACAGAGCACTCTGCATATTTTAATGCACACTGTTTATTTGCTGAATTTAACACGTTGGGGGAAAAAAATAAAACATAAAATGTGGCCTGTTATATATTTCATGTTTTATGCAGAAAATGCTATTTTCAAGTTTGTTCCTCATATGGACAAAATATATTCACCTGAAAAATCAACATTTCACTTGATTTGATGTTTATTCTAGAGCTGTATACACACATGCACACACACACACACACACACACACACACACACATACTGGCACACATACACACTAAAGCAGATGAGTTCATGGAGCTCACAAGGGGATATTATGATAGATAATCCCTGCTAGCTTATGCATTTATTAAAATAGGCTGTGTGCAGCGCTTTCAGAATGAACCTACAGATGAAAAACAAACAGATTCTCTTTTTAGGGCCAGAGTTTGATCTAAATAAAACACAGAGAGGAAAGTAGGTCAAAGCAGAGTAACTGGTGTGAAGCTCAGAGCAGAGAGCTCTGCTTCTGCAGGGAAAGTAGTGCACAACGCTATCTCTCTCTCTCTCTCTCTCTCTCTCTCTCTCTCTCTCTCTCTCTCTCTGTGTGTGTGTGCTGTTCTGTCTTCCTCATGAGGATACACATTCTAAATCATGAAGATTGTATGAAAGTGCGTTCTCTGCTGGTGCTCAGTGTGACACGCTGTGTTGATTTCAACAAATCCGCTCGTTTTCTGATGCCAGTTCCTGTGGCCACGCTTTGTCAAGCCTCTCTTGATTCAGGAGGTCAGCCCTTTCAACTGTGACCTCATATGTTCCCTGCATCCCTTCTGTCAAATATGAGCCCAATCCCATGAGTCTCTGAGCATATCTCTGAAGTGAATTTAGTCCTTTGCTGCTCCTTCAGAGCCCCTCTTTTCATCTGCTATGTTCTCTAAAATGTTCCCCCATTGGGGCTTATATGAAGGAAATGCTAATGGTGACATCAAACATTCTATTATAATGACTTTCTAGGATAACTGGCTCTCCACAATGGTTATTGGCCTGGATGCATGGCTGTAGGAAAAAAAATCTTTTTAGTTGGTATAGAACGTTTACATGGTGGAGGTTCTTTAAACTCATGATGGAGGTACTTATTTACAAAAAATGGTTCTTCCATACTTAGCATTTCACTGGTGATACATTAACTGTCTTTGCTCCCTTTAACTCATTACAGTCTGAACACCAATAGGCAGCTGTGCAACTGTTGTGGCCCTTCGTTCTTGTATTTTGCACTTCAGAATGCTCTACATGTTTTCAAACAGAGACAGGTCTGGACTGCAGGCTGTCCAGCACCCGCACTCTTTGATCATGCAGCCATGCTGTAAGAATGTAGCTGGTTAAAATAGGCATGGATGTCCCCGACATCATCTAAACAGGCAGCACAAGTTTATTTTTTTTTATTTATTTATTTATTTTTTTTTCCTGAAATGTGTATATCTTTCAGCGTTAATGGTGCCTTGACACATGTATAAGTTGCCCACTAGTACACTCTAATACTATGACAGATCCTAGCTTTTGAACTTTATGCTGGTAATAAGCTGGTTGGCCTTTTCTTCTTTGGCCTGAAGAACACAACTTCCATTATTTCCATAATCTTTGTGAAATGTCGTCACATCAGACCACAACACACATTTCCACTGTACCTCAGTCCATTTCAGATGGGCTTGAGCCCAGAGAAGTCGGCGGTGTTTTTTTGGATGTGGTTGGCATATGGCTTCTGCTGTGCATTGAACAGCCTTAACTTGCATTTGTGGAGGCAGTGATGTATGGTGTATGATGTTTATTGACATAGGTGCCCATAGGATGATATCCATCACAGAAGCATCCTGGTTTATAATCTGGTACCACATAAGAGATCAAAGGTCACAGGCGTTCAGTTGTGGTTGCCCTTATGCTGAGATTTCTCCAGATTTTCTGAATCTTTTGATGATGAGGAATGTCAGTCTTAAACTGTTGAATTATTTGCTGGCGCAAAGCAGTGAGCCTCGACTCATTCTTTCCTAGATGGTCCTTTAAAGATGAGATGCTTTGCTGACATGATAACATGTTAACGTGCTTGCACTTCCATTCTGGTTGAGAGTACACTGAGCGCATTGTGACTGCTGCTTCTCTCCGGCGTCTTCTGCTTTTTTGGTGTTTTTGTTTTACTTTCTTCCCCTGGACTCTGACTTTTCTGGATTTTTGGATCTCTGATGTTTGTTTTTTGCTGGAACTGTGGAACTTTGGCTTATGGACTTAAATCTTTCTATTGTTGATTGGACACCCTGACTGCAGCACTGGTTGCTGGCCACCCCGAGCCCTCTCCCGCCCTTCCCTCACAGAGCAGGTACTGCTTGGGTGGTGGATCATTCTCAGCACTGCAGTAACACTGACGTGGTGGTGATGTGTTAGTGTGTGTTGCGCTGGTCTGAGTGGATCAGACACAGCAGTGCTGCTGGAGTTTTTAAACACCTCAGTGTCACTGCTGGACTGAGAATAGTCCACCAACCAAAAATATCCAGCCAACAAGCAGCAGATGAGCTATTGTCTCTGACTTTACATCTACCTGGTGGACTTACAAGGTAGGAGTGTCTAATAGAGTGGACAGTGAGTGGACATAGTGTTTAAAAACTCAAGCAGCACTGCTGTGTCTGATCCACTCATACCAACACAACACACACTAACACACCACCACCACGTTAGTGTCACTGCAGTGCTGAGAATGATCCACCACCCAAATAGTACCTGCTCTGTGAGGGTTCATGGGGGTCCTGACCACTGAAGAACAGGGTAAAAGGGGGCTAACAAAGTATGCAGAGAAACAGATGGACTACAGTCTGTAACTGTAGAACTACAAAGTGCACCTATATAGTAAGTGGAGCTGATAAAATGGACAATGAGTGTAGAAACAAGGAGGTGTTATGCCTGATCGGTGTATACTAGACTTGTTTTGTTCCACTGGTCTCAAAAATATTTCTGTTACTAGTTCTTTTGTTGTTTTTTTGTTATCTCAGGGTGCCCACTACTAAACCTTTTGTGAAAAACACTATCTCTTTCTGTGACATTGACTCTGTTGACCTTCATCTGTTTTCCAAATCTCTTCACACTTCACTTCTTTCTGACTTTTCTGATCGCCCCTCTCCTGATGCCATGGTTTCTCTTTACAATGACGCTATTTCTAACATATTTACCTTTCATGCTCCTCTAAACTGGTTCCTTCTTCTCGTACCTCCTCATGGTTTACCCCTGAGCTCAGAGCCATGCAAACTAATGGAAGGCGTCTTGAGCATCTGCACAAGAAAACTGGGCTTACTGTTCATCTCTTGCTTTTTTAGGGAGCACATCTGTAGGTACATGGATGCCCTAAATGCTGCCCGCTCTGCCTACTATTCAAATATTATAAATGGTGGCAGCTCTAGGCCCAAAAGCCTGTTTAGGACCATACATAAACTTCTCCAACCCCCACGTCGTCTAATCCCTGTTCCCCTGCTCAGTGTCAGGCTTTTCAGGATTTCTTTAGAGATAAAAATCAACAGCATCTACCAGCAGTTTCCCACTGAAGAACAGTCCTCTTTCTCTGAAATTACTTCACTAAATTACTTCAGTGTGTTGACCGTTTTATCTGCTTTCACCCCTGTTGATTCATCTACAGTCATAGAGATCATTTCTAGGTCTTCTTCCTCTTCTTGTCAGCTTGACCCTGCTGCTCTTCTTAAATCCTTTCTCCCTGCTATTTCTTCTCCTATAGCTCATCTTGATGGAAAGAGTTTTTGGCCTTGATGGAAAGAGTTGTGGCCTATCAGCTTCAGGATTTTCTGAGCCTTTCCAGTCTGGCTTTTGCAACTTGCACAGTACTGAGACTACCCTGTAAAGAGTGGCTGATGATCTTTTAATGTCTGCTGATGCTGGTTTTCTTAATATCCTCATCCTCCTTGACCTCACTGCAGCCTTTGACATGGTGAATCATGATATACTTAAATGACCCTCTCTCTTTCTCTCTCTCTTTCTCTTCTTCTCTCTTCTAGATGGTGAAGGTGAGGGACAACTCTCTCCTCCTGTCGGAGCTGGGATCAACAGTAACAGCTGGAGCTTCCGTTATGGGGCAGGTCCAGGTTACGGCCCCCCACCGGCCCTAAAGCCAGGGGAGATCCCTCCTGAAGCCTTTATCATCCCTGGCTCCCCTGCCATCATCTCCATCCGCCAAGATCCAGGAGCCTTGGATGACAAGGGCGACTTCATCACCTTCGGCAAGAAAGAGGAGGCCAAGAAGAAGAAAAAGAAGAAGAAGGACAAGAAGGACAAGAAGGAGAAAGGAAAAGACGATGGAGAAGAGTAGAGGAGAAAGGGCTGTGTCAGAAGGAGCTTTCAACTGAAGTTGGTAGCTAAAACTCACAGAAAGAGAAAAACCAAAAAAGAGAAAAAAATGTGAGTATAGAGAGGAGAGCCTTTTAAAGCCTAGCTCTCAATATGGGAAGCCCTGTCCAGTGCTGACCAGAAGAGACCCTTCTCTCTGTACCCATCTACAAATTATGCCCTGCGTGTATGTTGTAAGGGCTACCAGGAGGCATTAATTGGCTATCACACTATTTAGGTATGCATCTTAGATGAACGATTCTCAGTCCACATGTTTCTAAGAAGCTGGTAGCAATCTAAAACCCATCAGAAGTCAGGGCAGTGTGCATTATGAACCATGATCACATACCCTCCATAAATCCAAAGGTCTAAAATACATGAGGAGCCTCTTATTCCTCATGCCTTCCTCACAACCAGGACTCTAAAGAGGAGAAAACGAAGGCATGATCTTCAGAATGATTTGAAATGCATCAAGAAATTTGTATTTAAACTAGGCACAAAAAGTGTCTGTGTAAAATATGATGATCTGGTCAGAAATATCTCTGTGTGAGATCGAAGCTGATCAAACTAAACCACTTCAGGGGTAGAACAGTAGCAGTGTGTTATGCTTATAGTGCTCACAGAGCCCCCTGCTGACTCACATGGACAAGAGCGCTTCAGTCTGTGCTGCAGAGAAACACAGGTTAAAGAATACCGTTCAAAGTGATGCGTACAGACAAAAGTTTAGATACACAAAGACACGGACACGAACAGGATGGTGCAAAAGTCAGAGACCATGCGCTTATTTATTTTATTTCCAGTTTCCACTTAATGGCTTAATTTCTAGCTGTTGTGTACAGGTTATATATTTTTCTGACTGCAGCCTATATATATATTCCACCCCACGACCCTGGAGGATAAGCGGATTGGATGAGTGTATGTGTGTGTATACTGCAATAGTGTATATTGTAATTTTAGGCTGTTTCTTTTGGTCCATTGATCTTGAAATTTAAAGACAATACAAAGGACAGTAGACTTTTTCAAATTATGTAAAAAAAAAGTGATATATATATATTCAAAAAACAAGTATCTCCAAAATAGTAACTCTACAGGAGAGGGTAAAAACTTTTAATGTAAGTTAACGGAAAAAGAAATTATTCTCAGCCATTTTGGATCATTTCTGTTGGTCCAATCATCACGAAATATGGATAGTATTGTTTCGTTGAAGGGGAACACAATGTCAGTGCCCCCATTTGGGAACACATTTTGAGAACTCACTAGTTACTAGACTGAAAAGACAGACGAGTTAAAGTGGCAGGAAGATGCACAGAAGCAGAGTGGACAAAATGGACAAATTAAATACTGTTGGTCTGATATCATACTTGTGTGTATATTATGTTAAATATGTCTCTTGCTTTTTCCCTTACGCTGAAAAAAGAATACTTTTTACTTAGTAGCTCTTTTGACTGGAAACCAAATAAAAGGCTTGTCTCTGACTTGCACTGGAAACATGCAAACCCCATATGTTCCATATGCTTCTTTCATGCTAGACCCAATATAGTAGAATACATTCCAGTACAGTAGAGCCAGTGTGGACCCCCATACGCAGTCTGTCCATACATTGTATAGCTACATCAAAGCCAGCACAGGATTGAGGTGCTGCAGCCTCTTGGGAGTCTGTAATATAGGCAGGAATGGTGCTTGTTGCTTCATGTCAAATCAAGCCTGATCCCTTTGCCTCTGTTTTGAATGTTCGGTAGTTGTTCTTTAAGCTCTCTCCCTCTCCCTGCTGACTCTTTGCCTTTCAATGCTTGTAAGATTTGCTCATTTGTCCCTCTCACTCGTAGCTGTCCACTGGGGGACCGCAGCCAAAACTGCCCCCTAGTGACTATACTGCATACCATGGCAGGATGGACTGAATCAGAGACCTGTACGTTCTCTTACCTGTAACCCCCTCACTTCAACTGAGCCTCAGCACTGTTACTGGAACTCCCAGCTCCAAAACTCTTCCCCAGGGAATATACGCAAGCATATGTGCCATTTCTTTCCATCCACAAGCAAGTGGGCTAACAACAGGATGTGGGCAACAGAGACTTTCTCTTTTGTGGAGGTAAAGAGTTATGTAGATAGACCTATATTTTCAATTTAATTCAAGGAGCTTGATTTGGAATACAGGGTGATCCATATATGACATATATAAGGCTAGTTACAGAAGTGTCTGTAAAACGGAGAGATTAAGGACTGATGCAGCATTTCTTCTTTTAGTTGTCTACAATACAACACTTTACTGAAGGGTGCCATTCATAATGCTACACAACTGCATAAGCCTTTCATAATAACCGACATACACCTATACAGCCATTTATAAAGGCTTATTCCAACAAGCATTCGAATTGGTGACAACAGAACTGACTTTGTATGAAAACCAACAGCCTTTATAAATGTTTCTGTAGGTTAATGTCAGTTGTCATGTAGGCGTCATGTAGACTTACAAATGTTGAGTTAAACAATAGCAGTGAGCACTGATAGCTGTTCATTCAGGCCATCCAAACCACAAGAAGGTTTAACGTCTGTAAGGTTTGCTTTTCTCGTTCTAGAGTGTTTCGCCACCCCTCTGTTTTTATTTCCCCTTCTTTCTTTTGGCTGTAGGACTATTATTCAAGGTATGGGAGAGACGTTAGCGCTGCTATAAGACTGCATTCGCACCACACACATGCAAACACACATCACACACACTCACAGCCTCCTTCAGGTGTGGTTTAGTGCTGTCAGATCACTAAGTGGCTGTTTGCATGTAATACGCAGAAGAAACAGAAACTATATATAGATATATATAGATAGATATGTTTTTCATAATTATTTTCAACCATTTCTTCTCGAACCGGAGACGTGTATTGTCTCCTCTGAAGTACTTAGACATATTTCTAATTATTCATTCAGTTTCTAATGTACAAGCACATACATACATACAGATATACCAATATACACTTTGCAGACATGCGAACACCCAGAAATGACATTAACCATAACATTCTAGATATATGTAATGATGTAGTGTTATGCTCTGACTTTTTTATACCCCTTCATATATATATATATATATATATATATATATATATATATATATATATATATATATATATATATATATATATATATATGAGAATGTATTATTATTATGTTGCGGCTAATGTGAACTCATATTCATTTAACCCCTCTACTATATAAACCCCTTTTTCCATTAAAAACCACAAAAATCCTGATAAAAAATTCAAAATGATAAAACTGAAGATAAAAAGTGTCTATGTACTCTGCTTGTGTGTAGTGAATGTCTATTAAGTCATTCAGTGCCAAAGTGGCACTATGCTCTTGACTTTGACAGTGCAAATCTGTTCAACAACCTTTTTGTACACCTGCTCATCAGTGTAATGGTGAAATAGTGTTTTTTTTTTCTTTTTTCTTTTTTTTTCCCTTATCTTTTTCATTTTTTATTACTTTATGAAATCTGGTAACGTGTTTTGTTTATAAATCACAAATAAAGTTTCTTTCATAAGGATCTGAGATTCGTTTATACATTTTTTTTCCTGTTTTTGAATTTATAACAGTCTTTGGTCAGGCAGGTCGCTATGGTAAGTGCTATGGTTATAAAAAATTCAAAGTTTGACATCAGATGACATTAGGTTGCCAATCTGTTATTTGTCAACTAGTAGTGATTACAATATCCAGGACCAGTAACTGGATTAAAATCTAGATTTGAAAACCTCTGTCTGTCTAATATGCATTTTAAATGTAGCTAATTAAACATGGTTTCTGGGTCTTTAACTTAGCTATGGTTAATTTGAGTTCAAGTGGTTTTCGCACGTAAACCAGAACTTACAGCAAACAGATTTTGAGCTGTTAGCATTACTACTACAGAGTGCTGATTGGTTAGCATTAGTGCTACTAAGTGCCGATTGGTTAGCATCATAGCTACTGAGTGCTGACTGGTTAGCATTACTGCTGCTGAGTGCTGACTTTGCACAGTTACAAAGTCCTATAACTGGAGTTCAAAAGCAGCCAGAAATATAACAGCAGTGTTAAATGTTTTATTCTGTTCTTTATTCAGGAAATTAATGCACTTCTCTACAAACAAACAAACAAACAAACAAATAAATAAATAAATTTTAAGCATTTACAAGCTATAATGCTCAAATCTGCTCATATCCTCGATATTAACCCATTTATTTTGGAGCGCCCTCTACTGTTTGATCAACCCGGAAAATATTACTGAGTGGCACTTCTCTTCTAATGCAGAGGAGGTGAACACAGGGTGAGTTTTTATTATTTATTTATTTATTTATTTGTTTGTTTGTTTGTTTGTTTATGCATTTATTTATTTTTTACAAAATAGAAAAACAGGCTAAAAATACATAATCATGAGTCAAAAAGTAGGCACACTCACAGGAAGAGGTCGACAAAACAATCAGGCAGACTGAGCTGAAAACGTTAGCTAATAAGTGAAAACCAGATAATCAATCAAAATTCATAATCAGTGCAAAAACAAAACTGATGAAACGATTCAGAATTAAACACAAACACCAGACTTCACAACGACTGAATGAACTCCAGAAGCTGAATGCATTCTTTATTACTTTATGAAATCTGGCAATGTGTTTTGTTTATAAATTACAAATAAAGTTTCCTTCATAAGGATCTGAGATTCGTTTATACAATCTGTTTTTATATTCATAACAGCCCAGTCTTAGGTCAGGCAGATCGCTATGGTTAGTGCTATGGTTAAAAACATATAAATAAATAATAATAATAAAAACAAATAAATAAATAAATAAATAAATAAATAAATAAATAAACATTAGGCAGCCAATCAGTTAGTTGTCAACTAGTAGTGATTACAATATCCAGCACTGGAACGGTCCTGTACTGGAAACTGCATTAAAGCTCTGGACTTAAAAACCTCTGGCTGTCGTTTATGCATTTTCAGTGTAACTAATTAAACAGTGTTTCTGGGAATTTAACTAAGCTATGGTTAATTTGAGTTCAAGTGGTTTTAGCACGTAAATCAAAACTTTAGTAAAGCAATCTGCTGCAGTCCACGTGCACAATCATTCAACATTCAAAGGAAACTCCATGGATCAGCACAATGGATTAGAGATACTACCATACAGGTGAGTTATTATTCTCAGAATTTCTTCCTTGAGACATACAGTATTACAAGACATATGATAATGAAGTGTCCTAAGTATTTTATGATAATTTGTTGCACATTAACGTTACTTTAGCCAGGCAGGCTAGCCCATGTTAGCCCGGAAAACATTACTGAGTGGCAATTCTCTGCTAATGCAGAGGAGGTGAACACAGGGTGAGTTTTTAAATTTTTTATTTATTTATTTATTTATTTATTTATGCATTTATGCATTTATTTATGCAAAATAGAAAAACGGGCTAAATATACATAATCATGAGTCAAAAAGTAGGCAAACTCACAGGAAGAGGTCGACAAAACAATCAGGCAGACTGAGCTGAAAACGTTAGCTAATAAGTGAAAACCAGATAATCAATCAAAATTCATAATCAGTGCAAAAACAAAACTGATAAACGATTCAGAATTAAACACAAACACCAGACTTCACAACGACTGAATGAACTCCAGAAGCTGAATGCAGGCAGTGATGGGGGTCAGTTGAGCAGGTTGTCATGGAAACGGGAGCAGTGGGCGTGTTTAGACAGGCTTTTCGTGCATTAGGGTCATTCTACAGAAACGTCCATTTTTGTGCCCCCGGTGTTTACAGATATATTGCACTTGAAAAACATGCTAGGGTTACAATTTATATATATTTTAAAATAAAACAATAAGTTATTTTAACAATTAAACCTTTATTATTAGATTTTAAATCAATTATCTAGAATTCCAAGCACCACAGAAGTGCTTGTCCCCAGAGGCCATATTTTGAAGGGAAAACACCTTTTCCTGCAATTTTAACTGCAATCATCTATACATGACTATGGAATATATGAATTAAATGACATAAAGAAAACAAATGCCAAATAAACATAAAACATGTAATGAAAATTGTGGTCCCCAGGAGTCGTGTCACTGGTGTTACTGCGTAACAAAAAATCTCTTATGTTGTAATAAAAATCACACTGATGACATCACTTGACTTCCTTTTACCTATTTTCTGAGGATCTATGAAGAAAAGCACGAGTCCACTGTGTCTTTCAGTTATCAGAGATTTGCTCATTTAGCTTTTAGCTGAACTCACTGGTGTGACCTTTCTTATGTGGAACACCAGTGAGGATCAGTAACACCAGTGACTCCTATGGAGAGATAGAAAAGTGGAAGTTTCTCTAGAGCGACCCGTTATTAGTTTCATAAAACAGCGACAACATGCGATATGATCAAATACACAAATGTACAATATACATTTTAACCCATTGTCAATAATAATTGTAACAAAACAATTGTGAATTTGCTAAATAATGATTGAAATGTTTCTCAGCCAGTCGCAGCCGTCTCTAAACACTAAACCTAGACCAAGAGTGGCAGTAAGTGATTTATCAGTAAATGAGTTATTGGGCTGAGATGGTGGAAATATTGTGGCATCAGATGACGTCTGGGTTCTCTCTAGTAAAATAAATAAATAAATAAATAATAATAATAATAATAATAATAATAATAATAATAATAATAATTTTATGTTTTTTTATTTTATTTATTTATTTATTTTTTTAACGTTGTGTGTTCTACATTTATTTATTAGGTCTGTTCTGCCGTGGACTCTAATTCTGGAGGGCGGGGCTAGGCGTGGTGTGAAGTAAGCAGCCACAGTGAGCTAAGATAGAGCTGTAAGCCAGGCTGAGAGCTGTTTTTCCCTGTTGTTTTCTGTTTGCCAGGTCAAGTTTAAAAAGCTGTGTTATGGGCACGAACTCCCAGTTGTCCAGCGCTGCGTTCAGCCCCGACACAACGTGACAAAACGTTTATTTAAAGGGAAACAGTGGTGAATTAAACACTCTGCTCCGTTACGCAAGCGTTGCAAGTATGATTGAGGAAGACTTAATGCGGCTCTCCGCTGATTTAACGTGAACGTCACCATGTCACATGACGTTAAAATCTCGCGGGAACAGACTTCAGCTTCAGCTTTTGAAATCAGGCGCTGCGGTTTCTCTCCATCCGCTGCACGAGCTACAACACGCCTTCGTGACGTCAGAGAATCACCCTCCTTGGCTGGATTTTCCGGTGACAAATATGACGTGTCACGTATGTTACCTTTTTTATTCTAAGAGCTTCAGATCTCATCTACACCATGGAGGGATGCCATCCCTGCTGAAAAGGATCATTAGATTAAAGGACCGTTGGATTAAAACATAATGGTTTTCCTTTCTAAAGGGAACTGGCTTTATTGTTTTCAATAGGGACCACTAGTGTCCTTGACGTTGTGAAATCAAACAATTTAAAAAAAAAGACAAAACACATCACAAAAAAAAATAAATAAATAAATAAAAAAAAAATAAAAAAATCAGGAACCAACAGAAACTATCTATCTATCTATCTATCTATCTATCTATCTATCTATCTATCTATCTATCAGCAGGGATTTTTTTTCCATCAATAATAATAATAATAATAATAATAATAATAATAATAATAATTTTAAAAGATGCAAAAACAGTTATTTAGATTTCATTTTATGTGTATAAAAAGTCAAATGTAAACTTTCAAGCAATATGATTTTGTCTGCAACAGAAAAGGGAAACACCACGAGATCAGCCATATGTCAATACTTTAATATTCATCTTCATCTTCGATTGATGCGTATACCAGTTTATATATACTGTCAATGCTTTTAACCCGGAAACCGTAGCAAAACAGTGCACAGTGTTTTGAGATTGAACACACCCCAAGCTTCTTCTGAGAAGCCCCCATGTCACAATATGTTTCTGGGGAACAGACCCTTGCTTATAATCTGAGCAAAAATGTTAAAAGTTGCACCACATATATGCATCATATGAGGCTAATATGGCATATAAGCCTGCAAAATCAAAGATATGGAAACTCTTATTATGTAATTAAAGTTT